ATTAATAGAAAATTAATGCATTAATTATAAATTATTTAATTCAAATGAAGAAAAAAAATGCTAAGGAATTAATACTAATTTCTATAATGGTTAACCCAACGGTTATCCACAACCCAACCCAACCCAACCCATTTAAATGGGCAGGTTGGGTGACGGGTTAATCACACAACCTACCAAGTAAATGGACGGGTTACTGGGTGGGTTGGGTGAAAAATTGCCACCCCTATCTGAAAGTGTAATAATTACATTAAAAGGTATATTGGTATTGATGAACTTTTCTTTTCTCTGAACTCTGAATGCAGAGAATGTTGTTCTTAATTCTGAATTATGAGTATCAAATATCCATTTTGACCCCATATATGAGAGGTTTTATTTGTCTTTTTGGGTGTATCATTGCAAAACAAAAAATTGTATGATTACACTTTAAGAGATAAGAGATAAGAGGAAACGAACAACTATTTTTCTCTTAAAGTTAAAAGATTCCTCTTAAGAGATAAGAGTTAAGAGGAAACTAACAGGCCCTAATGGTGGTTCAATTGGGGATTTAAGATGGGCTACCCTTTGCTTGTGTAGCCCCATGAAGCCAAAAACAAAGTAATTCAAGTTAGGAGGGCTGAGACGGATTTTAGCTCAACCCAGGCCCAACCCCAAAAATTGGTGGGCTTAAAGTCCAAGCCCAAGGTCAAGCCTGAACTTTTCAACCTGAGCCCAACATGCATTAAAATTTGATACACTTTGGTTGGGCTTGGGCCTGAGTAGTTGGTCAATCAGCCCACACTAAAAATTGATATACATGTAAATGTGCATATATGTATGTATGTATGTATATATCCTAGGTCCCTTCTTATGACCTCCATTTTTAATCCTATCCTTTCTAGTTCTACCACTCATCCATCTTTCACATTCCTGCAAAACTCATTTCTTGGACATGTTGTTTCTTAACTATACCCAATACTCTGCTCCATAAAACATAATTAGCCTTAGCTTTATAAATATTCTATAGAATTTTCATTTTAATTAAAGTGGTATTCGTCTATCACATAAGACCTTGGATGCACTCCTTCATTTTGCCCATCACATTCTAATTCTATGGGTGTGTATAGAATTATCATTTTAATTGAAGTGGTATTTGTTTATCACATAAGACCTTGGATGCATCCCTTCATTTTGCCCATCATATTCTAATTCTATGGGTGTAACATTTTCATCAATCTCTCATTTGTTATGAATTATTGAATCACAGTAACAAATGATTATAGATCATTGATATTATAAATTAAATAAAAAAATAAAAAATAGATATAATTATAAGAAAAATAAAAAAAATTGTAGAAAATTTAGACATATTTTTAATATTATATATTCATCATATTAAATAACACAACTGTGATAAATGAAAAATATTGTTATTAATAATTGAAATTATTAAAAACACAAAAAGAAAAAAAAAGACTTTATGTCTAACTCGAGACTATTGATTGAATCAAACCATTAAATGATTCAACTACCCATTTCACTATAGTCAATATTTTTTTTACAAGTGGTTGGGGGTGAAATGGATTGAAAATCTTGTTGAGTGATGTTTTTTATTATCTAGTTCAATCATGGATTAAAAACATTTCTTTGGATGTGAAGGATAATGAATGTAAGTCGGATTGGATTAGGTTGGGTTGAGGTCAACCCTAGCCTATCCTGAGGTTTTGAACTCCAACCATAACCTAGCAGTCGATTCTAACCTTAAACCAACCTAAAACCCATCAATCCTAACCAAACTCCCAACCTTTCTCCCATCCTCATCTCTTAAGTTCTCTTAGGTTGTCTTTGATAACACTTTTAAGAAGTCTGAAATATAAAAGTGCTATTTTTCAGACTCTAGAAGTGTTTGGGTATGCATAAGAAAGTTCATAAACGGTCAAACTGCAGGCCATCAATGAATGCATTCAGATGTGTCTAAAAATCTAAAATGCCCCGATAATATTCAAATGGACAATGTATATCCCTTTTTAAACCCAAATTTCTTTTCATTCGAACTCTTTTTCTTGGACAATGAAGGGAGCTACCGCACTGCTTCTGCTACTACCTCATTGAACACACCAGGCGATGAGTCCTCTCTCCCATAACCGTCTTTCTCTCTCTCTCTCTAATCATCCAAATCCATCTGAAGTCCCTTGCTTATTTCTTCCAACCTCCCAAACTCAAACCAGGCCTAGATACGACAAAATAAGGGAGGTGGGAGCTTTTCTTCCCTCTAATCTCTTCTCCGATCAGCCTCTCTCTCTCTCACCTTCTCTGATCCCCAAACCATTCATCGTTCCCATCGTCCTTGTCTTCTTCGTTGATTGAACAGGATTGACAAAGTTAGGTGATGAAATGGGGGTCTGAGGAGGTCATCAAAGTCAGGTGATGAAACCTTTGCCAAGCTGGTTTCTGTAGAACTGTCCTTTGTAAGATCCATGGCCGATGATGAATGCAGTGATGAGAGGGGCTGCTATGTGTTTGTTTGTCACTATCACTGTTCATTTTCATTTCAAATGCTACTTCCATGTTTTAAATTCCTTGGTTCCCGTTATTTGTTGTTAGATTGATCCTTCATTTGTTTAGAATCAGTAATGGTTAAATCTGCATCTGTTCTAAGGGTGAAGTAATAAAATTAGCCATTTTCAGATGTTGAAATATTCATCCAACACAAATAACCTTATCTATTTAGAGCATCTAAAAAGTAGAAAATAATATATGCTTATTTTCAGATTTTAGACGCACATAATATCTTTTTAACTTTTCAGATTTCAGATTTATCAAATGCCACCTTAGTCTTTCACTAAGGGACATAAATTCAACTTATATGACATTCTTAGGATCTTTGAATCATTGTAGCAGAGACCTAGGATCAAATCTCGCTGCTGCCAAGGTTATGGGGGTTTAAGGGGATGGGATACCCCCCATGAACAACCATAACCCTAACCAAATCATCAACCGGACCCAAATCATTTTTATTCCTTTCCACACACCGAGATGGTTTCATAGCTTATAAAAAAATTCTAGTTACTTAATAGAAAACTTGATTTGAATGTTATATATTCACTAAATAATAGTTTACATGAATATATCTTATAAAAGATACTTCCAAGTCATTTCTATTCCTTTTTTTTTTTTAATTTTGGTATGACATACTATGCATTACGTTACAAGGGAGGCAGAGTAGGGTGCACATGAGGGACACTGCCATACCTACTACAAAGAGACTATAGTATCCCGTACTTTGGTGCCAAGATGCCAAGTGACCATCTCAACAAATGTGGGTTATTGGCTAAGTCATTTTTCACTGCAGAGCTATAAACATTCAAAAGCCCTCCATTCTATACACCAATGCCCGTATGTGAATTGGTATCAATTTCGAGCTGGCAACTACCCCAATTATACTTTGGGCCTAAAAATTCTGACCCTGGGCTGAACCGTCATTCTCCTGTCATTTTATTGATGGAATCTAATTTTAAGTCATTATTTGTTAATTAACAATATAATATTCTAATCATTTAAGTTTAATTATTAACTATTAATGATATTAAAAAAATAAAATTAGGGATAAGTAGATTGCACTCCCCCTTAGAAAATATGAAACTACAGCCCTTCCTAATCTATTAGTAGCCCCCCCATAAATCACATCCTGTCTATGGATTTAGCATCGATACTAGGAAAATGATCATATTTAAAAATTCTGAATCAACTCTAGGAAAATGAATTCTTCCAATTCTAAAGAAAATAAGAAAAAGAGTGAAAGAAGATTACGAAAAAGTATGGACAGGCCCAATATAGATTTCTGAATTCCACTACAAAGCTATAAATTTTTAAAATGTCAAAAACCCTTACTCTATACACCAATGCCCACTCGTGAATTAACATCAATTCCAAGGTGACACCTACCCAACTGAACTTTGGGCCTAAAAATTCTAACCCTAGGTTGAACCATCATTCTCCAAAGAAAATTAGCTGAAGGTAGAAAACAAAATAATACGAATTTCAGAGGTATCTTACTGCCCAAGTTTCTCTGCCCGTGAGAAGCAGAATACAAATACAACCCCTTGTCCATGTACCGGAGAACCCGAGTAAAAAACAAATCCAAAAATACGAATTTCAGAAGTATCTTACTGCCCAAGTCTCTCTCTCTCTCTCTCACTTCTTACTGTCTTACCGCCCAAGATTTAACTCACTGGCCGATATCAGATACCGAGGATCATGCTAAGTTGCTGACGACCACGTCAGCCGGATATACGAGACTCGCATTACAAAGCTGACGTGGTGAATCGTGATTGGTTCAATATGGCTAATATAACTGTAGTAGTCTAGTAGATTCATACTGATACTGGGCTCGGCGTCTCATTTCCTACACTCTTTTCGTTTTTTCTTTTTCGACACTTTATCCTGCACTTCCCATTCAGTCTGCGGATTTTGAATGACTTTTCTTCCCCAGAGGCCGAGGAGGAGGAGAGGAAGGACAAAGAGCTAACCAACTAACAATCAGCCTTGCTTTCCTTCGGTAATAAGTAAAACAAAGAGAGCTCTCAAAAAGACTCAAATACCCCTCATTGTTACTTGTGAAGCTTAGTGGTCCAGCTGTTGAGCGAGGCTATTTTCGTCATTATACAGTGCAACGGTCGCAGAAACAGAGGCTTTTTTAGTAAATTAACAACCAAAGGAAGGGCGTTTAAATGAAAGGCCACACTGCCCAACTGAGAAAAAGAAGTTTTTATGGTTGGATCCCAATACCTCAAAGAAGCAGGGCGGGGGGTGGAGAAATCAGAAATGCCGTTTGAAGGGCGGGACCCACCTTTCCCTGCTTTCCGCAATTCAAAAAAAAAAAAAAAGAAATATTTCTGCTCTTGAAATTTATTGAGAGGGACGAAAAAAGTGCAGAGGTTGACTGGTAAGACATTTTGACCACCAACTCTCTCTCTTGTTATTCATTTTTTATAATTTTTTTTCTTGAACCCACAAGACCAAACAAAAAGAGTCTATATATCAATTCTACTCTCACTGTGTTGAAACGCAATCTTCTTCTTCTATTCCTAGTCAGTAGTTCTTCTTCTTCAAGACCAAACAAAGAAAATCTTATTTTTTTCGAACCATCCAAGACTGTTTCAGCTGCTACTGTTTCATCTACCCTTGAAGTGGTTCCGGTTCTAGTTTTAGACTTTGGGTTCGAGAGAATGAGTGCTTCAAAGTTCATTAAGTGTGTCACAGTTGGAGACGGAGCTGTTGGGAAGACCTGTATGCTCATTTGTTATACCAGTAACAAGTTCCCAACGGTAAGTTTTTAGTACATAGTTTTCTTTTCCGATGTCTGCACTCTGCTGATGGCTTGTAGATGCAGTGGTTCTTCATGGAGTCTAATTTCATGAGCTGGGTTTCCTCTTGCACCCTTCTGTTTCTTTTTCTATCCATATGGTTTCCCTTTTTTTTCATTCTTAATTTTTCCCTTCAGTTGTAGTTTCTGCTCATAGGTTGTCGACTTTTATGTAATGGTTCTCTAAGAAAAACAATTCTCTGAGCTGGGTTTTCTTCGGTATTCTTTTCGAGTTGCTGGTCTCCCTTGTTCAGTATGCTTTTCTTGTACCAGTTTTGTTTTGATATTTTTCATTGCACTTTTGTGTCTTCTCTTTGGTTTTCAAATTTCTCTTTATATCTTTTAATGCAGTTTTTCCCAAAAAAGAGTTTTTGTTTTTGCAGTTTTTAGAAAATATGTTTTTGAAAAAAAGTTATATATACTCCGTATTTTTATCTTTTTCCTCTTTTACTTGGTTTCTTTCAGTTTTCATGTTTCCCCTCTTCCTGTTTGCGTTTAGGGGTTCTCTTACGTTTGAATGCCACTTCTGGGAACGTAAAATTCTTACTCTCCATCTCTAATTTTGGGCATTGTGAGCAGGACTATATACCCACTGTCTTTGACAACTTCAGTGCTAATGTGGCTGTGGATGGGAGCATTGTCAACTTGGGATTATGGGATACTGCAGGTGTTGCTACTTTGTTTTGCTGGTTTATTCTGCTTCATGTTTGGGTTTTTTCTGTTGCTCAGCAAATCTGGTATTTGGCTAGTCTGTTCATCCATTCTTCTTTGTTATCTGATTACAGGTCAGGAAGATTACAGCCGATTGAGGCCACTAAGCTATAGAGGGGCAGATGTATTTGTCTTGGCTTTCTCCTTACTGAGCAGGGCAAGCTATGAAAATATTCTCAAGAAGGTAGTCATTTCAATCCTTCCTTGTCTTTTTTTTTACTTACATTTTGTACTTACAAGAAGTTGATACTCTTCACCTGAAACCAACATAACTGACTCTGTTTGAACATTATGATTAATTTATTGATTTAAGTTAGTTATAACTTCTGTCTCTCCAAAATCCAAACAAGTTGCTTCTTGCCACCAGGTTGAGATCATGGTTTCTTTTTCTTTTATATATCTCTAGCAACTGAATTTTCTCTTGACTTTTTTTCCTCAGTGGATGCCTGAACTTCGTAGATTTGCTCCAAATGTTCCAATTGTTCTTGTTGGGACAAAGCTAGGTATGTAACAATCTCAGAAATCTGATGTGAAACTTATTTCTGAGAAATATATTTCTAGTAATCGGCATTAAGGCAACTACTTTTTCTCTGTAGATCTTCGTGATGACAAAGGATATCTGGCTGATCATATTGGCTCTGGTGCAATAACATCTGCTCAAGTATGTAATGGTTAATTTCATTCAATTTTGTTATCCTGTCTGATAAATGTAATTTATATGATAAAGAAGAAATTGACCTCCTCTTTGGGGTTGTGGTATTTAGGGAGAAGAGTTGAGGAAACAAATTGGCGCAGCAGCTTATATTGAGTGCAGCTCTAAAACTCAACAAGTAGGTGACTTGAACCCATGTAGGGAATATTTTTTACTTGTTAGCTTTGAACTTCCCCTTTTCTGCTATTTTACTAAAAGGTTTTCTTGATGCTTGGATGTCTTTTTCAATTTGAATGGTTAGAATATCAAAGCTGTTTTTGATACTGCAATCAAGGTTGTCCTTCAACCTCCAAGGAGGAAGGAGATGGCAAGGAAGAAAAGTCATAGAAAGTCAGGTTGCTCAGTCCTGTAAGTGTTTATCCTTGGTACACCTGAATCTTCTAATCAAATAATAAGGTTTCTTTGTATTTGGTAAAATTTATCCTTGGTACACCTGAATCTTCTAATCAAATAATAATATTTCTTTGTATTTGGTGCAAATTGTCATGATTTTGAGTAAAAGAAAGAACCTCTGAAATTGAAAGAAATATATTGTTAAGAAGCCAAAAGGATTTTAGTCGACATATAGAACTATTTCTTTTCTTTCATTAGGATGCAGCACCGAGAATGCACATGTATGAACTGCACAGATGCATATTACTCTGCATTTTTATGTGCCAATAAAAGCATGCAACCTGCTTTCCTGAACATGTCTGCATGAATTTTATATAGATTGGAAGCTGGAAATTCATCACTTGATCATAAAGTTAATATTGTTCTTACTGAACATGATATTGTAATAGGCCATCTGTTCCCCTTAGTAGAAGAGTTAACAATCTACTGGGAATATGCCACACATTAACATTATGCATGTAGGATCTTTGGTCATCAGAGGTCCTAGCATCATAATCATCATATTTAGATAATCCAAGAGCTATGGACCTATGGCCACCTTTGACATGTTTTGTCCTCCACTTTTCTTCTCTGCCATGGTAGTGAGGTTAAGAATATAACTAAATGGTTCCTTCTTTTTTGAATCATCTGCAGGAGCATCATGTGTGGAGGCTGCGTTGCATAAAGGATATTTGGGTGGGGATGGGTGACCCTCTTCAAATGCTATTAATTCACAATTTTGTGAATGTTCATATTTGTGTGGTATCAACACCCTCATATTAGTGTTGGTTATTTAGTTGTTCCTTCCACATCTAATAGGGGAAGGGTAGAGGGAATTTTTTGTTCTTTGCTGCCTTTGTTAGTAAAAATATCTTTTACTTTGTTGTTGTTGTTAAAGTAAGACCTGTTTATTATGCAGTATATCAAATATAAGCAGTTTCAAATCAGCCCCTTTGATGTTTCTTATGCAGTATGATAACTACAATAAGTCCTTTTTTTTTTCTTTTTTTGGTATTACATATTACACATTATATGGGGATTAAGGGGTGGGGACAGAGAGGGTGCATGTGAGATCCACTCATCTTACCACGGAGAGCCTGTTCTGTTACATGGGTTTGACCCCATGCTTCCCATATTCGAAGGGGATGCCAAATGGCAATTTGATCACTGCTTCTGAAACATATGGAAAAGCAAGACATATTGTTATTACATTTACTGAATATCAAAACTATGTCAATTGCAGAAAAACAACTCTTCATGGTGGCCATTCTTCATTCATGTGTTTGTTCTTACATTCTTTTGAATGTTGAATTATGCTAACTAGTTTAGGTTATATTTAGTCCAAGTTTTACATTGTGTTGGTTCATTCTATGATTGTTGAGATGCGAGACCTAAGGCTAAACAAATTCTAATAACAAAATGAAACTCACCATGACATATGGAATAATGGGAGTGGACATGGGTCCAAATGTCCAATGTCTCTTAGGGAACAGGATAAAACTTGGTTGGTTATTATCCATACTTGTTCATTAATACCATCTTGATTCTTGAGTGTGAAAGAGTTTTATTGTAACTATAGATTCCAAACCTGAATTCATTTTGAAATAAACAGGGATGAGAGGAAATTCTCCCTGCAGTTGTGTAGAAAGCTTTTGGGTTAAACATGCCTCATTGAAAGAGGTCGATGGGCCTATTTTAATTTTTACAAGTTCAAGCCTATTTGATATTTATTATGGTGTGAAAGAGTTTTATTGTAACTGTAGATTCCAAACCTGAATTCATTTTGAAATAAACAGGGATGAGAGGAAATTCTCCCTGCAGTTGTGTAGAAAGCTTTTGGGTTAAACATGCCTCATTGAAAGAGGTCGATGTGGAGTAACATATGGACTCATTTTGGGCTCTGTTTGAGCTGTTACCTATGGAAAACTATGTAACCAAGGTCCCTCACCTGTTGTACCAACAGAAATGTCCTTTCGTTGTAGATAATGTTATTTTTATTTTATTTTGTTTTTTTGTGAGGATGAAAGCAAACAATGTAGTAAAGCCTTACTAAGGTTGCGTTTGGAAACGATGCAAATGGAGTGTAAATCCCGGTTCAGGGTAAATTTGCACTCTGGTTCACTTTTGCCTGTGTTTTGCAACATTACATTTATGCATTGACAAATGACAGACCAATGCATATTTACATTGATAATAAGATGTAAAAGTACATCAATAAAAAGAAGTAAATTTGCATTCAAGTGGTCTTTTGATAAAAAAAAGCATATGCTTTATTGGTAAGAAGGTAAATTTGTCAGTGCAAAACTAACCCAACTTTACAATTTATATGAACTGCTTTACACTCTACATATTTTGCATTCACACTTGTTTGCATCGTTTCCAAACGCAGACTAAGGGGTTGTTCAATACTGTGGCTCAATAAAATGTGGAATGTTTCAATCTATTAGGCCCAATCGTGAAGTGGTTGAAAGTTGAAACCACACCACACTCTAAGAAGATGTTTTGCACCCGTGTGGATAGTGTGAATGCTTTTGTCAAACAAAATTTTCTATATAGTACCATGGGAATTTATTGCAAGATTTTACATAAACAATTGCATCTACTGTGACATTGATTGGTCCATGAGATTTAAATGTGGACAATAAATTGTAAGATGTTCTAGTTCAATTCATGCTATAGTGTGGACCGAATCGAGCTGTCTCAAATGAACCACCACTGAACAACCCCTAAGTGGGCGTTTTGGTACTAAAGTCTCAAAATTCGTACTTGAATGTAAGCATTGGAAATTAGGAAGTAAGGTGTTTTATATAATACAATGCATAGTTGTTTATTGTAGTTTTAAATATACAAGTGCCATTAGGCACCACATAAGACAATCAAAGTGGAAACACCACCCTGGTGGGGAAAATGCCAAAACGGATGTTGGGGCGGAGATGGGTTTTGGGATTTTATAACCTGCGTGGTGTGTGTACGAGTAGTGTACAGTATTAAGGTAAACCTGACCCTCCCATTACCCATATACTAAATAATTTATGCATTTCCTACATGTTTCTTCAATCAAATAATTAGTGTACATGAAACTAAATGCATGATCCTGATTTGCCCCACCCTTAAATGCGGCCCTCAAATATGGGAAGGGTAGGGTTTTTTTTTGCATTTTCATGCCATGTTTGAATTCTGAAAATTCAACCCGCTGTGGATTTTGGAGTGGGTACAAGTTGGGAGGTTTGGAGAGACTGGGAGGGTCTACAACTTAGAAAACCCTCCCAAACCTATCCTGTTGCCATTCCTACTTCCAACACCCCATTTGCATGATTCTATGCAAATGGTGATATAAATGTTCAAAGTTGAATATGCCCAACCAAATATGATTTTGATACTGTAAGGTTAAAATGCTTACCTGCTGCTTATGCGAAATCTAAACACCACGGTTTCAAACACTGCACTAAAAGTAACAGTAAGGAGAATGTTTAATCAAACGGAATGACTACTTTACCACAGGGACATTAAGGTTTATAATAAATGCATAAACTTGAGAAAAGAAAGGGGCACTGTAGTCAAATAGGATCTCTTGATGTTTTGTCTGTTTGTTAACACACAATCATATGCCCCACTTGCAAGTTCTATGCGAATTTTCTGAGGCCTTGCCTTTACAGTAAAATATGGTGGTAGAAGTTCTACTTCTTTTCTCTTTTCACTGTCTTATTTGTTGGAGGGTTGTTTTCCACATGCTGAAGTTTTCTGGAGTCATGGTTGGATTTCATGTGCAGTACTTAGACATGGTGTTCTGTGTTATTAATGTCGGTAGCTACTCTGAGATGTTGCTGGCAATGTCTGGGTGAATGCTTACTCTGGAATTTGGGTTGCTGCAAAACAAACGATTCAAAATTGCAGAAACCGTGCACAGTAGAGAACTATTCTGTTAACTAACTGAGCCTTGGAGGCTAAAAAATTCAATCATCCGAAGACAACTTCCTAGCTCATGGTGAACATCTGAAGTAAATTTTGGACCATGCGAATGGATATATGGTTATTTTGAAACTCTCTCAACCTTCTGAGCCATTGGAGGGTCTGGAGGGGCTCTATTGCCCACTTCTACTGTGCATCGATCACCCCATTTTCCACCTCATGAATTCATGATCGCCTTCTGTCCTTGGCAGAGGGCTGATGGGTTCACTTGATTGTGGTGTTTCTCCATTCTCGGTTGTTTGGACCCTACCCATTTGATCAAAGATATCCAAATAGTGTAATTGGTATTTTTCAGATAACCTTGTTTCAGGAGACAGGCTTAAATATGCATCTGTTTCTGCTGAGCTTTGTTAGTGTCCTTGTATTTATCAACAATCAATGATCTGGAATCAGAAGATTAGACAATGTTTCTTGATTTGGACAGGTTTGTTGTAAAGCCATTATGACCTTAATAATGAAGATGATCATTGTAAGCAAAAAGCAGAATTTACACAGGTTTCCCTCAACATTTTTTCCATCAAACAAAAAACAGCCCAAGGACTAGAGGCCAGGTGGTGAAGGACAAAATGACTACAGACATTGCAGCAAGGTCTATCCCATATCAGGCCTCTCGATTGTAGATCATTCTGTTTCTGTTTTGGTGCAGTGAAGCAGAGAAGCATTAATACTCAGTTATCTTTTGCAGCTCAATGGGGAGTAGCAGGTGGTGGTGTTCTGTTCACTGAGAAGCACTCCTGCCGTATGACTGCAAGATCAGCTGATAAACATTTATTAACAGAGCTGATACGAGCACAGTGTTCTTACTAATAAAGTGTAACGGGATGCAGAAAATTTCCAAAACCGATCCCTCAATCTCTCGTTACAGGAGAAGAGGAAACAAAATTCATTGTTCCATCCATGACATAAATGCACAGTGCTGAGTCATTACTCTCATGCTCAAGGGCAGAAGCTAGTTAGGTGTTACAACATTAATTGTCATCTGGGCTATTACACGACTCTGACATTGTTGCTGGAAATTAGTTAATATCTTAAATATGTTGTCGTCCTAACCAATGGTGAAGTCTTTGGGATTGGGTTGTCGCCTGTCCTAAGGAAATGACGAAGCTCTCCATTGCAGAGATTCCTCATTACGCCAAAAATCTAATCCAGAGCTCGGGTGGGCTTCTGCCTTCTGCGTTGATTGACACGCTTTGGAGAAGCTACCTGAGATAATTTCACCAGAAAGTCAATTTTACGACTCATGTAAGCCTATTTTCGGTTTTCTAGATGTTTACCAAACATGGTTTCATGATATTTCGAGCTTCTTAGGCTATGTAATGCCATAATCCGCTTTGTTAAGAAGTGGGATCTGCTCCTCGCACAACGACCACACAGATACATCCCACTGTGCATTGGGAACATCTCCCGTACTTGCGGTGGGATGTGCATGGTGTTATTATTATTTACGGAAGATGTTTGCAGTACATGGTGGGATGTGCCCGTAAGGTCCCTGTGAGGCGCCATGTTTGAGGAGCACTCCTTTGTTAAAGCCCTCTCAAACAGGCACCCGATCAAAAATGAATCGAGCTAGAGCTGTCAATCGGTTGGGTCTATCTGATTGACTTGAATAGTGGTTCTAGTTCTGAGTTTTATGTCTCGATTATAATTGGGTCGGGTTTGTACTTGTTGTTTCAAATTGATTAAGAGCCCAAATCCACTATATCATTTCCTACTAAAAGAATTAGAAACAACTAAGTAGTTAATTATATAGGTTTCATGGTTTTCTAATAATTTTTTTCACACTTGTATTTTATGTCTAAAAGGATAAATTATAAAATAATTTTAGTTGATAAAAACTGGTTTTATGAACAATTTACTATTTCTTCTCATTTTTATTAAGGTTATATTATAAAAAAAATGAAGTTTCAAAGTTGTTATGTTATATAGGTAATTATAAATGTCAAATATAATTGGGTCAGACTCAATTATACCAATTAATAATCTATTTGATTCTAGGTCTGGTATGAGAGAACTGATAGGATCTGATTAAGAACTGGTACCACCCTGTCAACAAACCTGATCCACTGACAACTCTGCATCACCAGCGTATCATCTTATGTATAAAAGAAGGGACCTTCATGTTAAATTCCTAATTTGTAGGAGTTTGATTGCACTAAGGGGGCGTTCCTTTTGGATTTTGAGAGGGGGAAAATTGGTCAATGGGATTTTGGTTCCCATTGACCAAGAATCCCATGTTTTTTTACAGATTTATATGTGGGCCAGGGAAAGTTTATTTTTCTGGGTATCAAGTGATGCCCATATCATTGGTGGGTAAATAATTTTCTCATTTGGGGGAAAGTTGTCAATACTTAAAGGGACAAAAATGCCCCTTTTAATAATGGATTTTTATGGATAAAATGGTCATTGCCTTGTTTATATGGGAAATAAAAGAACATGGGTAAATGCACTTACCCGGGTATGTGTTTCCCACAAAAAACTTACCCATGTACTTGCATTTATCTGGATAAATAACTTACCAAAAAGCAAACGGGTCCTAAGGGCTATTACCCACTATTTAATTCCAGCTAGTAGGGGTGATCATTCCTAGCCCAGCCTGTTAAGACGGGTTAGGGTTGGCTTGGGCCTACATTTCAAGTCCAATGTGTAGGCCCAGCTAGGCTAGGACTTACATAGAGGCCCTTACACCAAGGCCCAGTCCAAATCTAGCCTGCGATCTCATGTTTTCATGCTTGTCAGCCTGAAATTTTACCACAGCATCAAGGAATGGCCCCTAGTTTGGTTGCAATTTTGATATTCGGCATAATTGCAATTGAAGAAAGTTGCATGGTTTTTCCATTGAAAACAATTTCTAATTAATGCATATAAAGAAAAACACTATAGAAACTGTCAATAGATTGAAGCTCCAATGGAGATCAGAAGCTGCTTCTTTTAGCCTGGAAGTTGGAATGCAAGTAAAATTCCCTGCCTCTCTAGGGCTAATATGGTGGCTGGGTTGTTATATATATGCATATAGAAAATCACCTTATTAGTGATTGAGCTGAACAAGAGACGCCCAACCTAGGAGGCATGGACTCAACTGGAGGAGTTTTTATGCACAAATACAACCAAGGTTATGAATCAGAAAATTAAAAGTACTTTCACATGCATTCTTCTAACAAATCTGAAAAACCATATGACCATTCTTGGTGATAAAATATTGCAATGGCTGCTACACATTTTATGTGAAAAATCAAATTAAAATAAAAAAATATGTTGGTTGGTTTTCTCAAACTTCAAGTAACACCCAACATGAGGGATGCTAGGGTTATTAATGACTTCACCACCACCTCTTTCTTTGCGGTGGAGGAGGTGTTAGTATATCTAACATTGTCTGTTTCTCTTTTGGGGTCAATGGAACACCTCTCACTAGGTTCAATGCCATGATATGCACATTTGTTTTCTGTCTATGCTTCTGATATGCCCATATCCCTGCTGCTGCTCCTGCAACTAGAAACTGTAACCAACCCCAACACTTGAATATTAGTACAGTACAGAAAATATATGTCAGTTTGGGTTATGCCTAATTGTCAGTCATGCAACTTACAGGTGATAGCCACAAAGCTGCAGTCTGCAGATCAAAACGTGGGGCATAGAGAACAGTCTCTCCAAAGTCTTTCTCAAGCTTTTTATAGATCTCCTTGTCAGTCTTCCCAGCCCGAATTTCATCACGAATCAACTGCCATATGGGCTCGAGCAACATCAGCATGGGTATAGGTAAAAGCCAATGTTTGTGTCATTGATGGTACACACACACACACAAATAAGAATTGCTTTTCCACCCGCAGATTTGAGTTACATGGATATTTTCTTTTTCCTAGGTAGAAATTGGGAATTCTATAGCTATAGCTGCTTAACATAACAATGGTATGCAATTTGGAAATAAGTGAGTGCAACCATAAGACTGGTCCTCTTATACTAGTAAATTGGTTGAAAAACTCAGCAGGGTTCAAAAAGTCAATTGGTGACAAAAAAACAAGTCTTGTGAATTTGGTCAGACAAGAATTTTCCATCTTACCTACTCTAAGACAAGTTTTTTTTTTTTTTTTTCTTAACTTGACGATTTGAACAAAAGCTGCAGTTTTGGAAAAAAATTATAATTGGGTTCTCACTTGAACCAACGATATTCACTTTCAAATATTGAAAAACCTGAGAGCAGTGTAATTGTAGCGATAAAGAAGCCAGAAAATGAAAACGAATGGCATACCTTCCTGAGCAGAATGGCTACATCTGCTTGTGAGTCCTCAATGGATTGGCTCCCACACTCAGTGCAACGAACATTGTGGCTGATGTTTCTAGCCCGAGCTTCAAACATCTGTGCCTTTTTCATTGCATCCTCTTCACTCTCCATCGTGGAACAGGTTGCCTAAGCTCAAGACGACTGCAAAATGCAAATAGAACATCCAAATTCTAAAAGTAGGAACTAAGTAAAAAAAAAGAATGGCTCATTGCCATGCCCCATCTTCTGTTAAACATTCCATCAAAAGGTTTCTCTGCAAAAACAACTGTGGAACGTCTCCCAAGCCAGAACTTCACTTTTTATATATATGGATGACAGACAGAAAGTTTATAAAAAGAAGAATGCGACCAAACATTAATTTTCCATCAAAATCCATATCTATGACCAAAGAGAAACCAAAAGCGCATTGCCACGCCTCATCTTCTGTTAAACATTTCATCAAAAGGTTTCTCTGCAAAAACAACTGAGGAACGTCTCCCAAGCCAGAACTCCACTTTTTATTACATGGATGACAGCCAGAAACTAGAATTAATGGAACCCAATTCCTTAGGGAGTTCTTGTCAAAAAGAAGAATACGACCAACCATTAATTTTCCATCAAAATCCATATCTATGACCCAAGAGAAACCAAATGACGTAAGCTTGTAACAGTGTAACTGAGATTAGTCAAATGTCAAGTGGGTCTTCCAGTGATTTTATCATAGAGAAGAGCATAAGCGAATATCAAAATGTGATCCAAATCTGTAACTTCTTACTTGGAGAAAGAGAAGAAATTAACCAGTAACTAATTCTATTAGGATAGAATTAAGACAAAGCACATCTCTCCACAAAATAAATCAGAAGCCATATAGCAAATCGAATTAAAACGTTTAAGTCAAAATTTAAAGAAAATGGAAAATTACTCTGAACTCGAATACACAAATCCAAGCTTACCTAACTTGTAAAGGCCAACCCAGAATACGAATGGAGTTTCGAGAAGATCGAAGAAGAGGAAGACGGTTCAGAGTTCAGAGTTCATATTCTTTGAGCTGCGAAACTTGAATTGAGAAGAAGTAAGCCTCCGGGTTTGTTGGTGGTGGGGCCCGGGAACCCATCTGACTTGATTCAATCCAACGGCTGGGAGAGGCCACCTTCCCATCTCACACAAACAGTCAATAACGGTATAAACCTATGGTGCTGATAAATTCTGAAATTTCTGAGCTCTGCAACTGAAAACCCTAAACTTTTGACGTTGCAATCAACAAAGCTCGAATCTTGTAGTATCTATCTACGAAATCAGAAATTCTAGATTTCTCTGTTCGCCATGGATCCTCCTTCTAAGAGTTGGAGCATCTTTAGCCGAACAGAAATCACTCAACGGTATAAGATCCTTGAGCAAATCGGCTCGGGCACTTACTCCGACGTTTACAAAGCCGTTCGACTCTCCGACGGTCTCATCGTCGCTCTGAAAGAGGTCCACGACTACCAGAGCGCTTTCAGAGAGATCGAAGCCCTTCAAATCCTCCAAAACTCCCCAAACATCGTCATGCTCCACGAGTACTTTTGGCGGGAAGATGAGGATGCTGTCCTCGTACTAGAATTTCTAACTACGGATCTCGCGTCGGTTATTAGAGAAACTAAGAGGAATCGGGAGAACGGCATCCCCGTCGGGGAGGTCAAGAGGTGGATGATTCAGATATTGCATGGTGTTGATGCCTGTCACAGGAATTCGATCGTTCATCGAGATCTCAAGCCCGCAAATTTGTTGATTTCTAGTGATGGCGTTCTCAAATTGGCAGACTTTGGACAGGTGATGCTCTAAAATTTACAGTTCTTCCTGTTCCAATTATGCATTTCCTGCTATCAGACTTTAATTTGAAGTAGAAATCCGAACATTGTTGCTTTATGATTATGGAATAGTCAGTCACCTTTGGAATTATTCTAAGAAGGTGAAGCTTTCAATTTGCCATGGCTTTCAGTTTCAGATGAAGACACTTGGATGGAACTGGAACTGTGGAAGTTTGTCAAACTCGTTGTTCCTTAGGAGTTATAACTTCTGCTTGAATTGCCAAAGCTTCCAGGCAATGAGTAGAGCTTTTGATTTACTACTTGGGGACTAGACTAGTAACACCATTGCCATCATTAGACACCAATACAATTGCAAATGTATCCAGTTCAGACAACACAACTCTCAACTGAGTCAACTCAACTAAGCCTTGTCTCAATTATATGGGGTCGGTTACATGAATCCTATTCCTCCCTTCAACTGTTCATTGCATATTCATTGTTAAAGTAGGGGTCCCCAAATTGTTCCTAATTACTTTTATCCATTGCCCTTCTGGTCTGCCCCTAGCTCTTCTAGACCCATTGCCCTTTTGATCTTAAAATACCAAATTCCTATATTTCCTTTACTTGTGCATCAATCAATGAGGAAAAATGTTCACAAACTCCACTGCTCAACTATTGCATCAATCTAGAAGGAAATGATGCCACCAATAATGCTTTGTTATGATGGCTTTGGTAATGAGATAGGTAGAAAATGTTAACAGCATTGCAAGGATTGACATTCTTTAGTGTCTATATTTTTTCTTAATTAGTCCTTTTTTTCTATCCTCCCGACCATGTTTTTTTTAAAGGTGAAGAGAAATGAGGAGAAAGAGCATATTCCACCCAGAGCTTACAACAAGATAGCCATTGGCCAAAGGAAAGCATAACTAAAAAGTAAAATGATCATCCCAGATGATACTAATGCAGAAAGTACTACTACATGGTATTGGTAGCTCATTTTGTTCCAGTATCCTAGTTCTGCCGATTCTATTATAAGGTTCTGCAAGAGTAGTGATTGGACCAATGTCAGGTATTAGAACCCATTCTAGATTTGGAAAGCAAAATGGAATTATAACCTACATTTTGAATGATTATGAGATACAGACGTGAAGAGTGCTCCCAATGCTAGTGCATAAGGTGCTTCTAATGTATATGTTTATGGGCCAATTCATTTTGTGAGTTCCCTTTAATGTAAAGGCCTTTTATCTATTAACATGTGTCCTACAGAATTTAGCCAAAGAGAAATCTATATACATGGATTAGGTTTTTTTGAAACTTGAGAGACATACCCAGATTTTGAGACTTTAAATCTCCTGTAAATGGTTTTTCTGTATATGTATCGCTTTGCCCCATATAGTTGAGACAAGGCTTAGTTGAGTTTGAATATTTCCTTGGAAAAAGTAAAAAACTGAGAGAGATTTATCAGGAAAGCACCATATATGAAAAAAGAAGCAAAGCGGGGGGTAGTTCCCTTCTCTTCATGGTGGTCCATGATGGGTAGAAAGTATGCTACAGAGCTCTTTCATTATTTGTAAGTTATTGGTTCATCATCCTATATGAGCAGTCAACTCTTCACTTTAACTAGTCTTGCTAAAGGCCCATATCTGAAATTGGTGTCATGTTTCTTTTTGTGTTATTACATTATTTTACATGAACGCTGATACATTTCTCTTTGTTCAACAACACCTGCTGCTCTCTTTCCTTATGAAAGGACATATTAGTAAAGTTAAAATTCCTTCTAAAACCGGAAATTTATAGTTTGATTTGTATTGGTTTGCCAGTCAAGGATACTTATGGAGCCTGGATTTGATGCGGGAGACATGAACCCACATGAGCAAAATATTCTGAATCAAAGTTGGATGCTTCAACACTGTGAAGTTGTTCCACAATCAGACAATTCATGCCCAGGAGACTCCCAAAACCAAGAACATAGAACAATGAATAAAGAACCTTCGAGAGAACCAGATGACTTCACGACTAAGGACTCAATGGATGAAACTGATAAGGAGACCAACTTTCCTGATGGAGACACATCTTGTCTTGCTACATGCACAACAAGTGACAGGGAAGATGAACTTTCCAAGAACTCTTATTGTTATGAATTTGAGGGTGGAGAAGACACATCAGGTGGTCTAACATCTTGTGTTGGAACTCGTTGGTTTAGAGCCCCCGAACTACTTTATGGATCCACAGATTATGGGCAAGAGATTGATCTGTGGTCATTAGGATGCATTTTTGCAGAGCTCTTCAATCTAGAGCCTCTTTTCCCTGGAACTTCCGATATTGATCAACTTAGTAGGATAATTAGCGTCTTGGGCAACTTGACTGAGGAAATCTGGCAGGGCTGTTCAAAACTTCCTGATTATGGTAAAATCTTTTTCAGCAATGTTGAAAATCCAAACACTTTGGAGTCATGCCTGCCCAATCGCTCCTTTGAGGAAGTCAGTTTTGTGAAGAGACTTATTTGCTATGACCCAGTAAGCAGAGCTAGTGCAATGGAACTGCTCCGTGACAAGTACTTAAATGAAGAGCCTCTACCAGTTCCTGTGTCTGAGCTGAGGGTTCCTTTGACAAAAACTGGGCCAGAGGAAGGATCTCCTGGAGGGTGGTGCAGCTACAAGGACATGAATTCAGACTCGGATTTTGATGAATTTGGCAGTGTGGATGTTTCAACCACTGGTACAGGTTTCTCTAGTCGGTTCTCTTGACATTCAAGTCAATGTTTTGCATCTATTCAGTCACCCTGGTCTCAAATACATGTATAAAAAACCTATACTTGAAAGGACGATTAGTTGTAATATAAGAGAACCATGATTATAGAAGTGTATTTGGAGTTTGGTACTGAACTACAATAAATCCTTCACGTATATATGAAGGAAGAAGCATAGGACATGGTTAAGAAGCCCATGACTGTAATCTAAGAGAATCATCCAGCCACACATTTGGAATATCTCCTGTACATGTATGTTAAATTTATGGGGAGATGTTTCCAATGTGTGGCTGGATGCCTGTGCTTTCAGAGTGTTAGCATAGTTTTTGCTTTCAAGAGATCCCATCTCCTTTGGCTGTACCTTTGTTATCCCTATCGTTATCTTTGTTGTGATTTGTGAAATTTGGAATGTGTAGCTGAATGCGATGGCTATTTAGTGGGCTGTGGAACCAATGGCAATGCCCCACACCAGCTATAAAATATTTGGGCCCACAAGTGAGAGGTTGAATGATGTGGATCTCATGTATTTTATGACTAGTATGAGGCACTATCATTGGTTCCACAACGTGCTAAACAGCCATTACATTCAGCTAATCTGATCTCTTAAAGATTGCTCATGGTTAACCAAGGTCAAGATATCCGAACATTGGCCTGGATATGGATGGGCTTGGTTAGGGCTACTTTTTCATCTGAGAATACCAAATTGGTCTGTAATCGTTGGCGATCCATCATATTGATGTGGGTCAGGTCATGGACTCATCGGCTTATAAACAGGGTTGGGTGGACAGGACAGGTTTTGAAGAGGAAACAGCAAAGGTCTCGTGTGTATCAGCTGTGAAAAGAACACCTTATATAATTTCGAGTGCTGGTTTGGTCAAACAATTAGTGCCCTTTTAGAAGGGTTTCTGACGTTCCAAAATGGGCCCAACACGGGAATGCAGAAGCAATGTTTGGTGAAAATCTGTGAAAATCTGGAAACCGACCACCACGCTTTGGATGCAAAAAACACAATATGAACTGCTGGTAGCATCTCTGGAACACAGGTGCTCAACCCCCACAAATCAATCAACGCAACTCGCCTCCAACTAGAGGTGCAACTTTTGCGGGTTAAGGGTGAGATTTTGTCAAAATTTGAATGAACCCAACTCGAAGCCTGAGCCTGAAACAGTTTAAACTATTAACTCGGGCCAACCTGAGTTGCACCCCTACCTCCAACACAAGCCATCCCAGATGGTTCTAAGTGCATTCATTTGCAACTTATATGCTCTTTCTAAACAATCTGAAGCTCATACTTGAATGACTTCATTCTGGTTTCTGGCTGTCGCCAGTCGCCACCATGTATACAAGCCCTGCACTTCTCATTATCATTCTCCTGTTTGAGAACCTCTTTCTCAGTGATTCTACATTCCCTCGAGAATTTCAAACATGGTAGCAAAATAGATTCATGGATGCATATAAATATGAAAATATGTTGGATTTAGATTGGCCAAGGCCTAAGCCTAACCCAACCCAACCTTAAGTTCATATTTTTCAACCTTAACTCAAATTTCAAATAAACCCAGCCCAATCCAACTTATTTTTTGGGATGGGTTAAAGACTAATCCAGCCCTAGTTGCACCCACAGAAACAGGAAATTATTGCGAAAAAAAAAGGAAAACTGGAAATGATTCTTTACACACGGAGGAACAAAAATTCTCCCACATATTATCAATATATTTCTGAAAAATGCGTCCTTAAAGCATTTCTAGAAATTTTTTCCATATATCAGACACTATTATATACCTGTTTCCTGCTAACAAAACACGCTCCAACACCCTACGAAAACACATTCCAACACCCAACCAACCTGATCTTACATCACACCTCACTATGAAATTGGGGGCCACCATAAAAGTAGAATCTGCCATGCATGAAATGTGCGGTGTCAGATGATGTCAAGGAGTTGGAACGTATTATGTTGGCAGGTGATCCCGTCTCCATGTTAGAATAAACAGAAATGGTGCACCCCGCACTAAGGTCATAAAGATGTCTGAAGGCTCCATTTGGGAAGAGTACAGGTACAAACATATTTGTATTTACACTCTTCCCAAACTGAGCTTAAACTGCCAAGAGGATTGGTTTTTAACTAGTGAATTCAAAACCATCAATTTCAAATTAAAAAAGGTCCTACTACTGTGTGGAAAAAAAAGTTTTTCATACGAGAAATGACAACCCCAGTCACTCATTTCATGGAAACTTAAGGTCATAAAGTGGGAAGCATTCCAGTTCACGGGCTCAAAATTATTTTCATATCATGTGCAAAAACGCACATACTAGCATTATAATTTTGAGAGCTTTTGGCCAAAACTAACAAAATAATAAAAAGGTAAAATATTTACAAGTAAAATTAGATACTCGAGTTGTATTAAGAACAAGAAACAGAAAAAAAAAAGAGAACAAAATGAATTGGGAATATATCACTTATCATTCACGGGGGATGCTCCCAATGCATGGTAGAAGTGTCTTGTGGGTAGGGATGTGGGAAAAGTTTGTGGGTAGGAGATCCGGAGTGTTTGAATCTATACTCCGAACCATGTTTGAAAGTGGTCAACTTCAAAAGCTTGGAGGCATGCTAGCAATGCTAGCAATATGGGAAGGTTCTTGCCATACCTGTTAAGAGATCACCACCACAAGGAACATTGTTTACATTTCCCTAGCATTCCTGTTGCTAATAATAAATTAAGAAAGCAGATAATATAATTGGTTATAGTTGAAAGTGTTTGAAGAATGAATAACAATCATGCTACCATTAAGCCTAATAAGGAATTTGGTTAGGGTTTGAGGTCACCTGGAATTTGGATATATCCCTTAACAAATGCTTAAGCCTCTTGAAACACTTTCAGATTAACAGTTATTACACAATCAGCTATAGTTGAAAGATTTCTTAGTTAGCATACAGCATGTCACACATGAGAAGAAGATAAAGGTGTAGGTTGCATCCTCAAGCCCCACTAGAATCGAATAAGCAAATAATAAATAACTTAAAGTGGTTAATAACAAGAATAAAAGAACTTTTTCTATAAGTTTCCCTTCTTCGCAATTGCACATTCCCTATACTACACTACAAACTAACAAGGATGAACACCCAGGATTTCCCCCTTTGTCCTAAAGATAATTTGTCATAAAACATTGAAAAAAATACATAATTAACTGTAAGTCAAGCTGATCTTTCAACTAATCAACCAGCCAATTGCCTAGGTCTTATATTCCAGAATCCATGCCTTCTAAAGATACAAACTGGTCACTCATCTATATGCATTGACAGGATCATACCCATGAAAGATTTAGAATGTGACAGAGACGGCTAATACTCCCAGCAAGTTTCCTAAGAAGCAATTACTAACATTTAATTTATTTAAGTGGTTGCAGAATCCACTCCCAATGCTGGTCTCGAGTTTGACTGGAGACAATGGAATAATGACTTTCATATGTGAAGTCCTCAAAATATTGCACCAGGACATAGGTATCCCCTAGTCACAGCATTTAAATTGGAAAAGAAAATAAAAATAAAAGAAAACTGAACATCTTTAGCCAATTCCATTGAAAACATGAATGAAAGACAAGTAGGAAAGGAAAATCTTGTGGACCCAAGAAACAGATTTATATTCTAGGGATAAAGTTTGATTTATTTATATTTCACTTTAATACCAAATTTCATGCCATAAGTCTTATTCCCAACTCATCCAAAGATTCCATATTTGCATCGTATAGTAGAAACTTCCTTCCCCTGTTGGATTAGCAAATCTTGCAAAGCTTTGACACTAGAAGAGATCCAACTGAAATTACCTCTGCAGAGTTGCAACTGGAAGGAGTACTAGTATAATTATACATATAGAAATGATTTTGAGATCACATTGTTGGATCTAAAACAGCTGATCGCTATGCTCTTTGCTCCACTTCCACTACTAGGTTAGTGGCAGAACGTCTGGACACTTCACCATCAATATCTACAGTTGAATGAAACAGAGGAGTCATTCAAGAGACTCTCTATCCAATGAGAACTGTTGAATTTCATTAACCTGCAAAAGCATGAAACCGTCACAGTACACTTGGTTCTGAAAATCATGAGGTCTATTTCTACAAGGTTGAAGAATATCAAAATGCCAGCAATACCTGCTTCACCACAACTTGCTTTTTTTTTCCCATATGTGGACCTGTAAAAGCTCCATGAATCAAGGTTTCAAGAATCACGATGCCTGATCTATGTGTGATATGTGAGAAGTTGTTTTCTGATACTTAGCTTTTTAACAGAGTTGCAAGAACATTTGGATGACTTATGATGACAGAATAATCAAAGAAAGCCCCTGAATTTGAAAAAAAAGACATTTCTGTCTAACACAATTTTGATATCATGTGATGCTTCAATTTCCAAAAGTTGCATCCCTAAAGCTGCATCTCCACCTTTTCATCATTGTCGAGGGCTTACAGGTATAGTTGTGAGCTTCATCCTCTGTCTCTTATGCCCATCCATATTAATCATGCCAACTCTATCAATAGATGTTGTCTTTCTATATGGTAGATCACCACCTTCAATCATGTATATATTTCCTGCCTCAGGAAGAGTAAAATCAGCTGGGTTTCTATTGATGGTGCAAATTTCAGTCTTACGAATGGCTTTCACTGGTGATATTGTTTCAGCTTTCTTACTGACTTCCAGTTGAACATGCTTGGTTGATTCTTCTCCAACCTGTGATTGTACATCATATCGAATAGAACCCAAAGATGAGAACCCTTTTGGCAGATCATGATTAGAAACATATCCACGTATCTTTCTAGAAATATCATTTTTGAAGGATGACCTCTGTGATTTCAGGCTTCTGGTTTGTGCCAGAGTGGAGGAACTTTTTGTTTTCCTCTTTTCTTGAAATGTAAGCGAGTGGGGTTTAGTTTTATCCACAAACACATCTGTAAACCCAATAGCTCTTCCAAAATTTCCATCTTTATGTAATGAAGAACCAATCTTATCTACCATATGAGCTGGAGGAAAATGTTCAAAAGATTTTCCTGGATGATTGTTTTTGTCAAAATAATCACATGAAAGTGGGTGAATCAAGGCCTCACTCTTCTTAGATACTCTAAATTCTGGCCTTGACAACACCTTGTCATGATGATCATTGAGAATGAGAGGCTTTTTGGGGAACTTCTCCAGGTTCCCATTTACATTGACAATTGTACTTGAACATGCCCCAGCATCCATGAGTCTAAGCAGATGCATTGCTGATATTGTTTCATTAGTATACAGATCCAATGGCCCTACCGTTTTGGAATGGCACTCATTTCCTTTATCCCTGAAAGCAAGATGTGGCCTATTCTCTATATCCATTTCAAAGCCTACTTTTTGCTTTTGAAGATGGGATACATTTTCATTAATCAATTTCAGGCCATGATTCATGTTCAGGTTCCCCTTTTGTAATGGGACTGAACACTGGGAGAACATGTTTATGTTACTTGATTCAGTGAGAAATTCCCGAGGGCTATTAATTCCAAAAGACATGTTATTTCTTCTCACAAAGGACCAAACATCATATAATTCCTTGCAGCATGAATTCTGCCGGGAAGAGCTCTGACACAAATTATGTGCTTCTATTGGTTGGAAACAAGACCCAGGACATCTGTGCTCAAACATATCCCTACTCCAATTACAATTTTGAGTACCACAGTTTCTTTCAGAACAAGTGAAAGGAAACTGAAATCCAGTTGATAGCTTCCCTTGACACTCTGGAAATAGAGTAAATCTCATAGAAGCAGGTTCTTTCTCTGACTGGCTAACATTGAAATTGATGGTGTTATATCCATTGGGATGAGTAGGGCAGCCAGCATATTTGGTTGGTTTAACACTTTTACTTTTATAACCTATGCCACTTCCTGCATTCCTGGACCAGCTTTGCATGAGAGAGCTCTTCCTATGCAGCAATGCCAATGGCTCATCCTCAGAAGCTTCGGCAAAGTTTGTTATATGAGCACCCTTGATGTTGTCAATTGTTTCTGTCAAGTTGAACCTCTTCTCAGAAGTGTCTTTTGCATAAAAGAGACGCCTCTCATATTGATTTTTGGCCATAAGTTCAACAATTTCCATGGGGATGTCATCAGAAGCTGCCTGTTCATGCACTTTATCAGCCCCTTGATCACATTGACTTGTTGAAATTTTTGGAATCCCATCAACTTCAGTAACATTCTCATAATTGCACATATTGGATGTTTCCTGAAATAAGTACATCAATACTTCTCTACAAATGCAATACCTTAGGAACAATTCAAGAAGAAAATATTTAGAGAAACAAAGAATAGAGGAAAAGAACTTATCAAAAGAAAAAGAGATCAAAGGAAAAGAACATAAAATTCTATATGCATGTACTGACATAAAAACGGTATATACATGGATGTCTACACGCAAATTTTTGTATATATATGCATGCCTACGTGAAAATTTCATCCATAGGCACTGATAAACAAATCAGGATTACACAAGTCAAAGAGATTAGACACAATACTTTTTTAATGAAGAAAACAGAGATAATTTAAATTCAAAAAAAAAAAAAGACCCAATCAACCCAGTAATGTGGTCATGATACAGAAGCAATAAATACATATAAACTGAGACACCAGAAGCCCAAAAGAAGTACCAGTGCCTCTTCACTGGATAGATGCTGATATACTGTTGCTTCAGAAGTTGGAAACAAGTAGCAACGAGATAGTTTATAGTTTTTGTGATGAAAAGCTAAACTTAGTCTTATAGCCTGTTTCTATGACCTTTTGTCATCTTCTATCAAAATACCTACATTTAGGCCAAAAAACTTGAGAGACAGTTTAAAGTCAATTTTAACATGACTCAATAATGTGATAACACCTTTCTAACTACCCTTCCAGTGGTATTTTGCTAAATCATCTTGTTATTATATCTAAATTTAACTGAAATCAAATCTGGCTAACCAAAGTGTAAGATGCCATTTTAAAATATGTTTAGATTGAGAACTTCTATAAATTCCAGGCTTAGTCACTGGATGAGAAAATGGTCATCTTGTTTAAAAAAATCATTGTGTATCTCATGGAGAACATACTCGATTAAGCTAAAAAGTACATATTCCTTGGATCTCCAGAATGCAAGGGTAAACAAACACTTGTTACCAAAATTATTTCATGACAAGAGAACAATAATGGTTCCAAACTAACAGAATAGTTGATCATAAATACCCATGTTAACATGTTATATGCTTAGATCAAAGCAAATAATCTGTTTAATCTATTTAAACCTTCTTAAGCTATAGAAGCTATCAAAATTTTCTCTAGCCACACAAATATTCATTTATTGTCAAAAGTTAGTTGTTATTCTCTGATGATAATGCAGAAGATGGAGATTTGGGATGCTTCTGTAACACATAAAAGTTCAAGGCGTATGTTTCATGCTTAAATGTTATTGGAATGATCAGCTTTTAAAGTTGAGTGCGAAAATTAATCCTACATAGCATGATATAGGGTGCACATGAACAACAAAGGAAAGTGGATCAGAAAAGGGAAAAACATAACACCACACAACATATTTCTAAAGCAAGAATTGCAGATAAAGTATCTTGCAGTATTGAGATGAACAAGGAAGGAAGACAGACTAAAAAACGTACCTAGCAAATACCTAATAAAGAACTGCAAAGAATAAGAGTGCCACACATATAAAAATGCAAGCAAAAGAAAAGCCCATACCTTTGGTTCACATGTTAGGAAAGAACCTCTGCCTTCAACAGAGGACACATTGTCACACTTCTTACTCATGATAGACTTTCTATCAGTTGCTATATGATTTTTCATACTGCAATGGCTACCCATTCTAGAAAGTGCACTTTGTGAAGATTTATAAGGACCTGTTGCATCATTCAAGGACATTCCATCAACTGGAGGAATTCTATTTTTCTTCTTACCCAAAATATGTTTGCCACCATTGTTTGGCGGAACAACATAACTTTGAAGACCGGATATCTGATCACTCCCTGCAAATGCATCTTCTGCTGATTTAAGGGAAATGGTTTCAGCCCCAGCACACTTGACTTGTAAATCCCTCTTAACCTGAACTTCTCTTTGAACACTCTCTTGCCATTGTTCCAAGAAAGGTTGCCTACATTCACTTTTAGGCATCTTCTTTTTACACAAGACAATCTTTTTATCTTTTCTACATTTGGCCAAACCTGCCTCAGAACCAGGATGTGAATCCACCTTAATGGATGTATCAACTACTGCTTCAAAATTAGTAACTGTAGTATCAATATTTCTTATTTCTGCATCTCCCTTAGAGATCCCAACTTTTTGAGGAGCATCCTTGGGCTGGATCATTCTGGAGGGCCCCTTGTCTTCATCCCAAGATATCTTCCTTTTCTTTTTCTTGACCAGAATATCCTGTTGATCATTTCCTTGGATGGCGGTGTGACTTTTGTCCTCAGGAAATAGGCCTGCCTCAGAAAAAGAATTTTGTGATGCTTTACATTGAGCACCCTCAACCTTGGTGTGATCAATGCTTCCATCTCTCTCAGAGCTACAATTTTTGTTGGATGCAGCCAAAACCTCGCTTCTTATTATGTCAGTCAACATACGAACCTTTCTTGTTTTGATCTTCTGCAAAGTAACACCAATACCCCCAAGTTGGTTTGCATGATATTCATAACCAAGATTATCTCCAATCAAGTTCTCATCATTTTCAGAGAATTCATAGTCACTCTCATCCAGATCCATTGGATTAAGTTTTCCCATCTGATAAGTGGCAGTATTTGGAGACTCATTCTTCTGAATGCCTGCATCTGCTACCTTGGATATCACACATTCTGTCATTATGTGCCTGTGTTGTCCATTCATTTTGCCTACATTGCCAGTGCAAACTTCTGGGTCCTTGTTATACATTTTTTTGGAATCATTTCTCATGCATTTCAGCTTTCTAACATTCTCCCTGGCAACTGCACTTCCATGCCTTTCGTTGTTTGGTTTATGAAATTCAATTAATTCATCATTCTTTGATTTCAGAGGAATAGTTTTAGAAGCTTTCTTGTCATGAGAAACAAATGGAGAAGCAGTTGCAGTTTCCCTGGCAGATAGATTGCAGCCTTGCTTGTCTATTTCAAAAGTAATGGTAAGTTTACCTTCTCTACTGAACTTTTCCTTTCTGCAGTATGGATCATCTTTTGTTCCACCATAAGTTTGTCTCAAAATTACCTGGTTAACATAATCCTCTGAACTACCATAATGGCCATTACATCTACAGATATCTGCAGAAAACAAAGAAATGAGAAAACGATTTTGGTTTCTTCTTTGAGATTTAGGGGCTAGAAATGAGTATACCTTCTTTGATACTACATGCAATTTCAGCTTCCTTTTCATTCTTATCACCACACAATAATGGCCTATACTCAACACCATTCACATTAGTAGAAGCATCTAATTCGGCTTTTCTTTCTCCACACATGTTCATTGCAGGTGCATGTTGAAAATCATGAAGCAACCTTTGTGCATCACCGTGGGATAGTATAACAGGAGTTCCATCTGAAAAATTCATGTTGATTCTAATTCCAGTATTATGACAATTGGCAAGCATTCCAGCTTCAGATGGAGAATCTTTAGCAACAATTTTCTGCAGACAGCTTTGGCAACCCCACCATCTGAATTCTGGAACATACAAAGGAGGAAGCTTTTCCATATCATTATGGTTACCAACTGTTGGAAATGGCCAACAAACCTTCCTGTCTTTTTTGCGCATTTCAGCAACATATCCACTGTGTTCACAAATAAATGATTAATTACCAGAAAAGTTTGAGAAAGAATCTATATATCCCATATCTACAACATGAAATAGAAGATTATGCTTGTCAAAGTACTCTCAATACACAAGCTTCTAAGAGCATAACCATAGGCACTCCAAAATAGGTTCCCTTGATCAACCCAATATTCAATCTCTTGTCCATTTCTCAGTAAGATATTGCAGGGTTGGATGACTGAGGTTTCTATCCTTGATCTTTGTCTGTGACTACTTAGACTGCTTTCCTGTTTTATTTATTTATTTATTTTTTTTTTGAAAAAGGTAAAGTACAAGTTCATTAAGACAAAAGAAACGGTACAATAATCCAAGTATAAGTTCATTAGACTGCTTTCCTCTTTTAATAGTGTAAATCACTTGATAAAGGACTACAATAATCCAAGTATCATCTTGAGAAAGAATGTCAAAATAATCCAGTACTTTGATATCAAGTTCATTTGTGGAATACTTTAAGTTCAGATAACTTAGATTGAAAATGTTGTTTGAGGAAGTAATTTCACATATCAAACTCAGCATAAAAGGTTCCAAATTAATATTTTGATTTGACTCAAAGAAGATGACAAATATCCAGAATCATAATTCATGAACAAGGGCATGATGACTACACTAGTTAAGTTGGCAATATTACCACACCATTCTATTAAAGAAAATCCTTATCATTTAATCCATATGAAACAAATTAAGGTTGATGTTTATCCTAGTGAAGAATTTCTGCAAAAAGAGTAACTAACTTTAGCATGCTTATAAATAACTACATTTGAAGCTTACCGAATTGAAAAGTGCCTACACTTGCCTCCCTCTTTTTTATTGTCTGCAGAGACATGCCCAATGGATCTTGATTCAATGACTGACATAGTAGACTTGGCAATAATAGTTGAATCACTTCTTTCACAGTTACTTGACCCCATAATATTCTCCTCCATATTACACAACAGAAGGAGCAATACTGCACTCCAAAGGGATAAAGTTCCTACACACATTCATGCAAAAAATAATTGAGTAACGGGATGATCAATCATGTTAATTACTGAAGAAGAGTACAAATCCTAGGGTAGTCCTACTATTGCACTTGAGGAATGAAACAAGTAAAATTATGGTTTAACAGAGAAAGGTGGAACTGCTTGAAACCAGTCACACGACTAAAAGACTCCTTTCAAAGATCTAGTTGCATCACGATAACATCATCCAGATTGAACATGAGCACATGATTGGTTTTAACTGCAAGAATTAGAACAACTCACTTCCTCAATGAAGCTAAAGAGAAAAGATGTTTCTTTATGCTTTTCCACGGTTTTCATATAATACAAATAACTATCTAGCTGAACCCACCTTCAGAAATTGCAAATTACAACATAAAATAACACTTTCGAAGAGAACAAACAAACACTTGTTCTGGTTTACTTGCTAACCGGAGAGCTTCCAACAAGAAAAGGTGTTTCTTATGTCTTGTGGTTCATGATAGAACCCTCAACTATCTTGAGGCGTATTTCTACCAAGTCTATAATATAACATAAAATCATGCATCTTAATCTGAAAACAAATAGATATTAGGGTAGTATATGAGAATGAATTCGCAACTGAGAAACAGTAAACTCTACACACAAAATACAACAGAAACAGTAATTATATATAGCCAGAAGACTTAAAGTTTTAGCATAAAATGAACTGAAAAGCAATAGCCAAAGTCACAAGATGAACCCGACATGAAATTACATCCAAGCAAACCTAAAACACGGACCGGAGCTAGAACCGAGCTGCCACTTACACGGGCGTCTAAAGAAAAGATCATAGAGTAACAAGAAAGATCCAACACACCTTATCTCAACGAAAATCAGGAGAAACGATGTTCCATCAGCTCGATCTCGGATCTCAACGGTACCCCTAGTAACATATCTTAGAACAAAGACCATTTGAGAGCGAAGCTCAAGAGATCAACCCAGCAACAATATTCGAAGCTGCTTGATCATAATTCGAGTGCGAAAGCTGGTGAAACCCTAGCTTTTAGGGTTTTGAATGGTTTTTTCGATACGAGAGAGAAAGAGAGAGAGAGTGCTTCTTTTTTTATCTTTTTTATTCTCATCTTCCTTTATCCGTGAAAGGGAAAATTTTAAAAGCGCGCCATGACATATTGACATGTCGTAAGTTGTACCATTCGCGTGTTGTGTGTGGTGTAAGAAAGAGAACTCAGAGGAATGGAAAACCTCCTACGTGTCCTCATGTTTACGGTGCTGCCCTTATCATCACCACCCATTTTCTTAAAAATCCTAATTTGTGGACAACCAAAAGAAGGAACCCTAACCCTAGCCCAACCACAAGCAAACCCTAACCCTAATAGCGAAAGGTAAATTGTTGTCTTCATACCCTTAACTAGTGATGAATAGTGCATATTAATCTGTTGACTGGCCACCTTTTCTCTTGCCACCAAAATCTGAGAGTAGAAATGAGAATGATTCATGAGATAGTTGTTCTTAATTTTTGGATACAATGTGCTATAGAACACAGCATATTAAATGGAATGAATGTTAAAAAAAACATCTAATGATCATGTGGATGGATCATTTAAAAAATTTAATTGAAATCACAGACCATACGAGTAAATTAATCTCCAAATAAGGGGACCCCATTTTAAACACATCCCTCAAAAGATTAAATATGAGGTATATAGTAGAGATTCCCAACCACCAATATAATCAATGGTTGGCTTCTGGATTGATTAGTTGATTGATGGGAAGAGACTTTGATATTGCAAATTAAGTGTTACTGTTCTAAGAAAAAACTAACTACCACTCATCAGTTGTAGTTATAAAAAATTAGGGTTGAGTTTATGGTAATATTTTTTTTTGGGGGGGGGGGGAAGGAGAGAGAGGGAGATGTAGAGAGAGAAAGAAGTGGGAGGAATCAAGCAAGTACAGTGGCCCCCACTAATATCAAGAAAACTTTCAAGTTGAGCAGTTGGGGGAACAAGTTACTGTAGTGGATGTAAGCCTCCAACCTAAAATCTATCTCTGGTTTAGATCAAATGGTTGTTGTTTTTCTCTTTTTATGTTGTGGGGGACACAAGATCACCACCAAAATAAAAAGTACAAATGTCTTGGTCTTCTTGGACATGAAAGGGTAATAAGTAAATGAAGTAGACATTCCAAGCCATGGAAGCCCACACACATGCATGCCCATATATGAATACATGGAGGATGGCCCCATTGATGACGCAGAGCAGCTTTTTTTCCACTAGTTTGGCCGATACAAAGATGGGACAGGGCATCAGCTATCAAGACCTGGTTTGTGGTGGGCCTTGTTTTAAAGCATATTAAATAGATTACTCCCCAACTTTAACTTAAGCTTCAAAGGCTTAACCTTACCAAAGGTTACTACGAAACGCTCAAATGAATGAAAGATTTTTCTTTTAAATACTCAAATAAAAGAGATATTGAATGGCTTTGATGCTTGATCTAACTCAGGTCAGAGAGAGAGAGAGAGAGAGAGAGGGTTTTGACAAGCATTCTCATCAAGTAAAAGAAGATGTTGAAAGGCTTTGATGCTTGATCTAAGTCATGTTATCTTTGTATTCTTTCGTGTAATAATTAATAATCAAATGACAAAATAGATGGAAATCTAAAGGCTAGCTGTAGAATCCAAACAGGTTTTCTGTCAGAATAAACTGATCAGAACTGAGATTCTTCCAGCACAGTTACAGCTCCTTTGCTTAAAACACTGAAACTTCACACACACACACACACGCAGAAGATGATAACTTATGCATTCTTTTTTTCAACTAGCTGTTCCAACTTAACCTCCTTAGCCCAATTAATTCAATCAAATCTACAATATTGTTAAGTGCTTCTAGCGTAAAGACTGAGCACTTTACAAAGCCTGCAAAAAGGATATAAGAGACAATTATAGAAAAAAGATGATTCTTAATGCTTTTGCGAAAGGCTAGAAAAAGCGATTTGCGTAAATTTCTGATGGTAGTGAGAGGCGTTTCAGGCGAGTTCATGGCGTATTGCTGACTCTTCTATCCTGAGATATCGAGTGCAGCAGAATCGGCGTCAGAGGCTTAAATGGTGCGAATCTTGAGAGATCAAATTTGGATCTATTTTGAAGAGACCCAGATTTAAGGGATTACTTGGTCTAATAATTTGTGTTTCAATTTCTGGAGAGCTCTCCCTCTGTAAAGGAGTACATGTTTAATTTCTTGTTTTCACTCTCTTTGATGGCGTTGTCAAAAACTCCAAATGGGAAACCTGTGCTCTGAGAAACGTAGATGGGATAACAGTTTACGAACTCAGTATGGCTCCATGTGGGGCACAGCCAATATGGTGTCTGATAGAGACCATTCCTTGGTTAGTGCAGAGGAGATGCCCCACTTCATCAGATGATTGCAACCATCCGAACAAATTCCGTTCTTTAACTTCTTTCTGGGGATTCAAAGAAAAAGGAAAAGAAAAGAAACAACAGCACATATTCGAAGAAAGTCTATACATTGAACAGGGTTAATCCTCCAATGTGGGTTGTAGGACCCACCACCCCATGAAGGGAATCAGCTTCATATGAATCTGCCCTACTTGTAGTCTTGATGTTTATAATGGTATCTCAGAAACAACTCAACAAGTTCTCCCACCATCAGAACCCAGATTGAGTGGAGCATCAAGATGATAATCAGAATGATGATCTGGTTAGATCAGGTGTTCATTTCAAAGATCCCTTTTGGGTCCTGCTGTTATAGACCACCATTGCGCCCAGATAACTTGGAGTCTGATTCTTCATATATATAGTAGTAGTTGTAATAGTTTCACCGACTGTGGTAATAGTGATTAGCAATATGTAAGGTGGGGAGACTCCATAATTATTCTCCTTTAATTACTCCGTCTTTCTGTACAGTTTTTAAGTACGCCCATTTCATGATGATGAAAATTTTCTTTAATCGCTCAGTTTTCCTTTAAATGCTTTTCTGCAAAGCAATTTGAATAGTACTGCAGTATAAGTAGTATCCTATGCCCTTTTAATTAATGTTTGAGGCCCAGATTTACCCAAAATCAATGCTCAACGACCCTACTCTTCCAAACAAGAGAATGAGAGCTTGGGTTTTAGTAATTAATTAGCCTCTGGCGCCAACATACAGTAGCCGATCTAATTTCATTGGATCACCCGCTCGATACACAGTGGTAGCATTTGATACCCATTTCTATTCAATGAAAAGACACGACGAATACTGAAATATCAAATCTGGAGTAAACTAAACTAGATCCCATAACTATAATTAATTGAGGTGTGCAGTTCTATTCCATCATAATCATTTTCTCTGGTACGTAGAAACCTTGATAATTCAATTTAGAGTTGAGCAAAAATAGTTCAGACGATATATATATATATATATATATATTTCTTCCTGTCATGACAACCCAACATGAACATACATCGGAAAAGATTTATCAGGCCGAGAAATCCAAGCATCACGCGATCCAATAAGTTCACAGTAAACGATCGAAGCAACCCATTTGAAAGCTTACTGCTAAACGTCCACTTGTATATGTTAGATTACCTAAAAAGATCTTACCTGAACCCCTTCAAGCTGGTTATTGATGAATGAAACATGCAGCTTATAATCAAATCTTCCAAAGCTACTTTGTTCTTGTTAAGACTTATGAACACAAGTAGTATAAACCATAAAGCAGGTCTCAGCTTCATTAGGGAAGTGTGGCAAAAGCTTGATATAGTGATATTCTGTCTTGATCTACACTGTCATGTCTATCTCATAAACGTGCCTTTTTTGTCGAGTCCTGGAGGATTCAGTTGCGTGTCGAGAGGAAATCGCATCCAGTTGTGGAAATTCTGTTGCGCTTATTGCACTTGTCTTTGTAATATCTAAGCTGGGTTACACTGAGAGCATGCATAAATTGACAAGGGATAGGTTGCTGGAAGGCTGCCATGACACTGTCATCCTCCATTGAAACTTGACAGTTGAATCAAACATCTGCAAGTGTTCTTCAGAAAATACCATCTTTGGGTTGATTGCATGAAATATTAGAGAGAAATAAAAGCAAATAATGATCAAACGTACACAGATAAACTCAGGGTTTGCATGCTAGCTGCATCATGTCAATGGCGACCCTCATGGAAGAAGATGACTCTGAAGAGCTTCCACAATGGGAAGGTTGCAGATTAACGAATGTTGATACAATAAACCTGCTGCCCAGATTAACGAATGAGAGGAGTAGATCAAACAGAGTTGCACAAGTAACAAGCTTGGTGTAAGTATGCAGTTCGATCGATCTACCAGTAAGACAGATACAATTTTCTTATCGAGACGAGACTTTGGGCCGGATGATTTCACGCACTCCCTTGCGACCCCCAATGAATCACGGGCACGCAGCCATGGAAATTACAAAGAAGTTCATGCCATGTCTTGAATTTATTTCCATCTCGCTGACCTGTTCGCGTTTTATTGGGATGTCGCAGCAGATGTGCCCTCGGGCTGGATGCAGTCAATCTGGGAATGCCAGATATGGTAAATTACGTGCATGAAACGCCTTAAAAAATGGAGAGAGAGAGAGAGAGGAGTTAAGAAGAACATCAGGAAATTCAAGCAATTCAGTGCCAGGAACGAAGATCTTTCACAGAGAATTCCATAAGCTGATTACTGGAGTACCAAGATCACGAAACACTGCACTGTCTTCTCCTGCTTGTAAAGACTCTGTATAGAGTGATGAAAGCAATAAAAAAATGCATTGTTGAGAAAGTTTTCAACCATCTACATTAACCAATACCGATCACATCTTTTGAGGTAAGCTAGAAATGGTAGAAAGTTTTCAGCTATCTAAGTCAACCATTGCTTCCTTGAAATCAAGCCCAGGTGCTTGATTTGTTCTCTCTTGCACGTACTAAAGAAGCTCAATGGCGGTTTGTCTGATCATTCTGCAAAAGCTTCTCGCTGTAGTTCGAAACTCGAAACTGAGCCAAGACTCAGTGGTACATGTTTACAAATTCACATAGAGAACATTCCAGAGGTTGTGAATGAGTTCTTTTCTCATGGCGAGCCAAGAGTATAATCATTCCACCAAAATGCTAGACGCCATTAGAATAG